AGGGGGGGGGGGGCGGTGTTACATGTTTTTGTAGGAGGGTTCCCGATGTTTGCAGACCCCAGTGGCTTGTGTTATTACTCCAGCAGACCTGATAGCATTCCGAGAAAATCTCAACTCCGTGGGAGGCATACAGTGCAAGCTGGCATCAATTTTACAAGCCCTAAACACTATCCCAATATTAACATCACAAGACAGGACGAACAATTATTGGCACTGAGTCCTGCCTGCATTTCTTAGAAAAACAGAATAAAGTGGTCTGGCCACGTATTTCCGAATGTCAGACAGAAAGAAAGAAAGAAAGAAAGAAAGAAAGAAAGAAAGAAAGAAAGAAAGAAAGAAAGAAAGAAAGAAAGAAAGAAGAAAGAAGTAAAAAAAAAAAAAAAAGACGAAAAGATTTTAAAAAACTCATTCTGAAGACGAACTTGTAGCAAGAACGTGTAACTGTTTTAGAGGCGTCTCTGCACTCAGATCTATTAAGGATACGGATAGTAGTTCTAATTATGACTATTTGGTGGTCTAAAATCGATAAGAGTAGGCTTCGGCCGCCGCCGGGGCAAATTTCAAAAATGTCCTACCAACTGAAAAAGTTTAATGTGTCCCGCGCGCTCATATTATGACCTTTTGCAGTTGCGAGCGCCGTAAAACACTTACCAAAAATAATGATTACTATTATTATTAATGTAGTTCCGTGTTGCATGTGTGTTTTTGGCTTTTGAAGCATTTGAATGACGATACAACTACTATCAGTATGATAGCAATACACTCCAGTCCTGATACTGACTTTGGCCCAAAAAAAACAACAACCCATAAAATAATAGATGATCTCTTTGAAGAAAACTCCTGTAAAGAAAAATTGGGCTTGAAGGTCACAAGCGAAGCCATAAGAAAGTTTGATTGGGTTGAGGTTTTTTGGTAGATGTTTTACGGCGCTCGCAACTGCATAAGGTCATATGAGCGCACGGGACACGCCAAACATTTTCAATTGGTAGGAAATTTTGAATTTTTGCCCGGGTGTCGGCTGAAGCCTACTCTTATCGATTTTAGACCACCAAGGGATCTTTAACGTGCGCAACTTGCACACAGGCCCTCCGAGATGTTTCGCCCTTGTCCGAGAAGGCTAGGTGTAGATCTTTCTTACCAGAAAATCAGGGATGTGGCTGAAAGACAGCTGTAAGGAGTAGCAGTAGAAAGGCTGCATAAAGAGCCAGGAGCCCAGATGAGGGGGCAAATGAGGTGATGGGATGGGGGCAGATAGAGGAGATAAAAGCAGACGACAGAACATTGCAAGAGAGCACGAAAGGAAGTGAAAGAAGACAATGTTAGAGAAGAAAATGTTTCAGTCGCTACCAGGATTCGAACCCGGGACCTTTGAATGAGAGGCCAACACCTTAACCTCTAGGCCACGAGAGCCCCCTTAGAAGGTTTCATCAACTGACCGTGTTTGAGCAGAAAAACACATCACCTTAGAAAAGGAAGAAGTGCTGCTATTTCGCTACCTCTGAATTACAGAGTTCTCTCTGACATTTTTGGCGGTTGTGATAATAATAATAAATAATAATAAATAGCATTTGTATAGCGCATATCCCCGCTCAACAGCAGTTTCTATGCGCTTTACACTATATTATTACTCCAGCAGACCATAGAACACTCCGAAACATTCTCAGCTTCCCGGGAAGCATACAGTGCAAGCAGCTGATTAAGCGCTCAAACACTAACAAACTGACAAGATCTTTCGCTGTCTATAGCCGGGTACCCATTCCCACCTGGGTGAAGTGAGG